TTTAACCTTGAGTGTTTCTACACATGGTTCTGAATAGCAGGGCTTTCCAGAATGCTGTGCCCAAGCTCCCTAGGCATCCTTCACAGGGCGTGTACCTGTGATTAAATCCTAGGCCTACATGAGCACTACATGTGTGAGTTAACCAAGAGATACGGTGTTTCATGTTAGAAGTCAAAAGAGAATAGGCCGAAACAGTCAGAAAGCAATTTCACTGGTGATACTCACCTTCTGACTCCTCAGAGGTAAACGCAAAATACGTCCTTCACTTACATAGAAGACATCCTGGCCACTGGTCTGGGATTGATTGATTCATTGATTTTTAAGTTGGGTTTAGTCTGTATGCTAAGTTTTTCTGCTTTAGCTAGACTTTAAGAGAAAATGTTATGGACAAAATCTAAGGGAAGGAAATTGAAAATAACCTATGCTTTAAAAGCTAGAAAATCTTAAAAATTAACGTAAAAAATGTATTCTAAATCTTTTTCTCTGTTAAAAAAATTGCATAACTATTTTTACAAATCATGTATCATGTAACTTTGTTCAGTCCCTCCAATGTTTTTTGAAGCAAGACATGAATGAATAATAAATTACAATAATGACAAAAATTACATATGTAATATATAATAACAAATGTAAGAATAAATGATTTAATGGTTCTATGGTAAATCTCTAAAATACAAACCATGGTCCATTCTCATTTCTCATCATTCAGAAAACGCCTATTTGCTACCATCGAGGAAGTGTTTTCAGGGCCTTCCTGGACTACCCTCTGCTTAACACACATTTGGAAAAGGCCTATCTAACCACTCCCTGTGCACAGAGGGTAATAGAGTTGAAGAAGCCATGCTTTGCCTGGAGCAGTGAGAACTAGCATTTTACCATGAACACAGTGGCCTCATTACATTTAAGAAACAAACTAACAGAAGTCTTGTCTGGTTATCTTTGCAGGTATAAAAAGAACTTCAATATAAAATATAAAATCCCACTGAACACCGTGTGGACTGCCAACTGTACAGACAAAAGAAGGGGAAGCCATCAATGCACGCAAGTCCTTTGCTTGGGCTGGCCCATGGTGAACTTCGTGGCCACCTTTAAGTAAGACCTACAGCTTGGTCCTGATATTACATGAGTTATAAAGGAAAACATTTAAATTGGATTATATACTAATTGGATTATATACTAAGTCAGTGACTCACTTTCTGACCTCCCATAATGACATTTGTATGCCTTGTACTCTCCCCCCAAAAAGGTTTCTATGTGCAATTGATGATAAATAGGGGGAACTACTGGAAGACTGTCCTTTAGTTTTGATCAGTGGTTTTTCAAATGGGCTATAGGAGCCACCTGGGGAGTTGGACCTTCATGAGTTCATGGTGTTCGTGTAAGTGGAAGGAGGATCATGAGATCAGGTCTCCAGGGCTCCTCTCTAACAGCCTGCCCCCGATGCCTGGGGAGTATCTGTGTTTCTCAATCCCTGGAATATCTTTCTTGTGCAAGTACTATTAAGTAGTCCAGTTACATTTGAAAAGTTGAAAAGTTTACACTGCCAAGTTAATTCCTTTGAAGACAGGATTTACTTACAGAAATAAAGTGAATCATGCCATCAAATATTAGACTTTCTGAATTGCTGTGTACAGATTATCTTACCTGGTGTCTGTAGACAGGTGATCATCTTAAAACAAAGGTATGAGTCCATGGAGTACAGGTCAGTTTTCCATGAAACATTCTTGGTTGGAGTGAGGATGGGGAACATGGCCATCCTGAGTCGACACTCCTGGGTTCACAGGGGTCATGCAACTTTCACATCTGCCACCTAGAACAACCACAGCCCAAGTCACATTCTTCTTACGCACATCTAGTGTGCATAGCACGCACTCAACTCTTTTCTTGTCCTTCTCACACTATGCTACCAAAATCTCCTGTATCATCATAAAGACAATTAAAATGTTGCTGAGTCATTAATTTATAAAACTAGAGTGCAGCTGTTGACTTAAGGAAAATTTTCAAAGCTTTTTGGGAAGAACCATGTATTTGTCTCATTCTCTATATATTTTCTTTCAATGAATTATTTCTCTAAAGATTAACAGTTGCTATTGTTTAGTATCTTTTCCAAGTTGCAGGTAAAAGGAAGCACTTTCATTTGGGAATATACAAAGGTTTTGATAAGGGAGTGTCCAAGAGGCATTTTCCCTAGTGACGGGGGAAATGTAGAAGCCACGTTTACATGTTATACTGGTTCAAAGGCTGCATATATACATATAAGGCAGTAACAACGCCTGGCACCAAGGGCCTTGGCTATTTGCTGTTTTACTCTTCTGCAGATTGGCCTGAGCTGTGTCCATGGACATATGCAGGGTGGGGAGCTAAGTGGGCATTGTTTCCTGATGAATCGGGTACTGATATGGTGACAGGGAAGGCAAGTGCAGTGTTGCTGGTAGGAAGATAAAATATGGCAGCCCGTGCAGAACAGTCAAGAGAAATAAAAACATACATCCACACAAAAATTTATACACAATGTTCATAGCAGTATTATCCATAGTAGCCAAAAAAAAAAAAAGTAGAAATAACCTAAGTATCAACTGAGGAATGGATAAACAAAAGGTGGTGTAGAGGCTGAGGATGGGGGTGGAATGGGGAGTGACTGTTTAATGGACACAGAGTTTCTGCTTTTGGGTGATGAAAACATTCCAGAACAAGATAATGGTGATGGTCGCACAACATTGTTAATGTACTGAAGGTCACTAATGGTCAATGTGATGCTATGTGTAATTTATCACAATAAATAAAACCCTAGTAAGTGGTAAATCCATTTATGAATGAATGTTAAAGCATTTTCAGCTTTGGGTATTAAATGCTGCAGAAAGTTTAGCAGACACAATACTAACCTTTAATAATTTAGCAGTAGCTGGATTGATCTTAATCAAAGGATTATAGTAATGAACTAATTTAATTTATTATAATTTGCTATATGCTAATACACATAAAGGAATACAACATTGTAGGGTTTTTTCATAAAAAGATACTCTTGGTTTAGGGACAAGAGAATTCCATTCAAATGCCAATTCCTAAATATGACTTAACTCAAATATTAATGTTATCTGCAAATAGCACCTCCAGCTCCATGAACACTCTTGAGGTATGATTAATCCTTTTTCAGTTTTGAAACTTGAAGCTCAGAGTGGTTAAGTGACTTGCCCACGATTACACAGCTTGCATCATATAGAGCTGCAGTTAGGTGTTTAAATTCCAAGCCAACTGCTCTTTCACTTCAAGCCCTACTTCCCATCGCTGTAATACTGCTTATGAAAGAGCGGGGTCCATCACAAGCCCAGTTATGAGGAGGGTATAACTTACACACGTATTCACATCAGTAACAACTGGGTGCTGATACTTGTATCTGGAACAGTGTTTAATATATTAGTTTAAGTATATTATGTAGTTTAATTTTTTCTCCTAATTTTTAGTATTGCAGTTCTTCAAAATGAAAGGAAAAATAGGCACTCGTTACTTCAAAGGTATTTTGTCAGTGTACATATTTCAAAATTTTAATCCATGATACAAGAGTACAAATCTCTTCAAGGCAGTGCCCCCCACACTTTTCTTTCTCTCCTTGGTAGGAACTGACAAGACTATCCTCAAACAACTTAAGATTTACCCTGGCTGCTGCTACAACTATGGTCTCTCGTTTACATGTAGTTCTGCTTATTTTTGCTTTTCCTGGATATCACTCTCCTCTTCCCCTTCTCTCCACCATAATGCTTAAAGCTAACATGATTCTCAAAATATATATTAAACATCCGTTAAGTACAGGTTACCTACTGTATGGAGTGATTCTCAGAGCAACTGCTCCTTCCTCCCTGGGAACCCAGGAAGGTGCTGGGCCCTCCAATCTAGGCAGGAGAAGCTTTGAGGACTGGACCCGCTGCCCAAATCTTACATGACAAGGCAACCTGTTATTTTCTGGGTCATGTCTTATTTTCCTGAAGCATTTCTGCATATTTTCTCCCAGCCCCTGATTTGATTTTGCTGAGTCTATTCATATGTATTTAAAAATATAAAAGTATATTTAAAGTATATTTAAAACATTAGCAACATACATTGATTTGAAATAAACTAATAGCTAATTCATTGACTTCACTTTGGGTTATTATTGGATTTGATTAAGTACATCAATCTAGCCAAAGAGAAGGACCAGCCAAAATGCATCCCCCTCAAAATCTGCACTGAGGATATCAAGAACTGTGCCTGTGTAAATTAGCTTAAATTCCAGGATCCTGATTTAGCGAAATGAAACTGATAGAAAGATGGGGGAGTGGAAGGGAGAAAGGAAGGGGGAGGGGAAGGAGAGAGTATTTAGAAAGTACTATGTGGGAGGATGTATTTTCCTGGAAAAATGTGTCTTTGCATCTATAAAAAGTGAATCCTAGGCAAGATGAAGCAAGAAGAACCCACCACAGTGACAGCACTTAAGCATGGAAAGAACAGTGCCTGTAAAGTGTCTGTACTATGTCTCTGGATCCTTCTAATAACAGTTATACTGGCTTGTAATAAAGAGATTTTCACAGGCAGGCATTTCTTATTGGAATTAAAGCTTTTTTTCTAACTGTACCACTACTTATGTACATTGTGATTTGTGTTGTTTCGTTTTTTTTTTCCTGTGACGTTTTATTTGGAATAACTGCAAACTTGCAGAAAAGTCAAAAAAATAAAAATAATACAAAGATCACCCATTTATCCTTTACCTAGGGTCACCTATTTAGTAACATTTTGCCTTATTTCTTGCTGTCCCCTCCATTACTCTATATGTATGTGTCTAACATTTTTGAGAGTCACATATACACCATGGCCCTTTATCCTAAAACACTTACATGTGTCTTAAGAATAAGGATATTCTCTCATATAACCACCAGACATCTATGAATTTCAGCAAATTTAACACTGACCATTCATGTCCCCACTGTGTCATTAACTGAACCAGCGTTGAGGTGCTCAAAAACAGCCCATGTGCCCTCTGGGAATTCTCAGCCTTTCTTTCTAGCTTAAGCTGTCATATTTTGTGCACCACAAATCCTTTAAAAGAAACACCTGTTTTACTGAAATGCTTTTTACTAGCTTCATGTTATATAAAGAAATGAAAATAAATTGTAACTAGGGGGCTGTCCTCTACATGTGCTGTACTTTGTCCCTGCCTGAATACAAGCTTTGCCTTTAGAATATGGATAATTGACATTAATTATTTACTCACCTGTTTTAATTTTTTTAATTTAGAGCAATGTTTCTCTCTCTCTTCTTTTTACAGTCTGTAACAATAATGAACTCACATACAGTGAATGATGTAATCAACATGTCACTCCCAATGCTAGAAGTAACTGTAAGTTACCTCCAAGTTTTTTTTAGTTAAAAACCAACTTTTATTTTTGAGATTCGTGAGTGTGTGTGTGTGTGCATGATGTACCTCCCATCGTGAGATAGCTGACTATTACAGATAGGTCACATTTTGTTTTGCTTTCAAGTGTCTGCTCCTTTATGTTTTGCAAGAGCTGCTGTGAGCTGTTGGAAAATTTTTTGGCAAAAGAGGTGGCTATATCTGAGGATGAGGTTGTGCAATAGGAAGAAAAAGAAGGGAACTGACATTCAGATGGACAGAATTGAAGGAAACATAGCTGCTTATATAACATTCTCTGTAAATGGGAAAACATCCTGCTATTGTGACATGACAAAGATAGTACCTGCAACCAACACTATTTCAAACATTTTTTGCTTTACCTTCCCCTGGAGGACTCTTTAAAATAATACAGCAGTCCTTGTAAGTTAAACTTGTTTCAAATGAAATTTCCAGTATTTCTAGGCAGGGTTTCTGCTAGGAGAGTATTTTCTGCATCTCACTTGTTCTCTAGGTCAGAGTCCTTGTGTCTTGTCTCCCTGGCACAGGGCTGGTCAGCACCAAAGCCACAGGGCTGACTTTACCCTGCCATCTCAAGGCCTCTTGTGTATTTCTCTCCTTTTGCTCACAGATGCTGAGCTAATGCTGCCTTTCAAGTTTTTCTTGCTCAAGAACAGTCTTGGCAAAGTATGTGGCTCTGGCAACATGCTTATTTGGGCAGGGACATTTAAAGGAAAAGCCAACATTCTCCAAGGAGTCTGGAGACAGCAGAAGGGAGGACTCCTGAGATTAGACATTTCCTCCATAGAAAAGAGGCATTACCATGATTTTTTTATGCCATGGACCACCCACAAAGTAAGGGGCTGTTTGCACTGTGGTTCCATAGATCCTCAGCCTTTATCAAAAGGGACAAGAATCTCAGACGGTCTGTTGGAGGCTGCAAGAAGGACCAGGAGTTATTACTGATATCAGCACTGTTAACTCAAAATCTGTACCACTCCCCTGGATCAAAGAGCAGTCATATGGGTCCAAATTCTTTCTTTTTGGAAATACAGAAATGCTAAGGAAATGTGTTCTTCAAGTACCTACTGGGAAAGATGTGCAGTGACACATACTCTTTTTGTCTCCAAGGGCTCTGAGAAAGATGTCCAACTGCGGGTCACTTCTGGCAAGAATGAGACCTCATACCCACTCATTGGTAAGTGTCAGGAAAAACCCAAGGTGGGCTGATTGCATAACAAATTGTAACCCTGAAGTCTCAAAGTAACAGTTAATCAGTCTTAGGCTTAAATATCCATAAAAGTGAAAATCTTGTGCAACAGTCATTCATACATTTATTCAATAATCCTAGGCACTAACTCTATCCCAGGCATGGATAACATCTCTTCACTCTGCAGCTTATGGTCTAGATGGGGAGAGAAATGTGAACTTTTCTTCTCTACTTTTATACTTGACAAACAGCTATCTTGAAAACGTTATTTATTTATTTACTCAATTAAATAACTGTGAAAACAACACAAATTGGAATATCTTTTCCTCACATTATTTTTCATATTCGTTTTAAAGTCCTCTGTTCCACTTCCTAACCACTAAGTAGACTCTACTTTACAAGATATTCTAAAATCCAGCCATACCTCTGAATCCAATAATTATTTAACACTTGTTTTGTGCACAACACTTTCCTCAGCATCAGAAAGAAAATGAGACAATGACATCCAGACCCTTCAAGTCTTCACAGCCTAAACCACCTGTACTTTGCTGTTTCTCCAGCTGAGTTCATCAACACTGCTCTCAGGTTTTTCTATACAGAGATCACACTTCTAAAATAGTTATTACAGTAAATTAGCTAAAATACTGATACTTATTCTTGGATCAGCAAATCAGTGTGGGAAGCTCAATGAAAACAGAGAGATTAAAACAAGGGAAAGGACAGGATCGGCAGCCGACCCTGCAATACAGTAATGGGAACACTGACTTCTGCTGGAAACCTCAGAGCATTCCCTCTTACATGCAGTATCTTTCTTTCTTTCTTTCTTTTTTAAAATCAATCCAACAATCCTGTAGGGCTATTACTCTTTTTCAAGTGATCTGAAGAACGTTTTCAAGTGATCTGGAAAATCCAAACCACCAAGTTTTTTCTATGAAATGTATATTCCTTGTCTTAGAATACATGG